TGATACGTTCCACGGCCAAACTGGGCATTTTACCGGAAGGATGCCATGGAGGCCAAAGTATGATGTTCAGAATTCGGGTGCCTTTCTGGGTGCGTACCTACGCACTACGCACTACGCACTACGCACTACGCACTATCACCGTCCCTACCTGTAGCACTCTGAGCCCGGATGGCTCCTGGCGTACTCGTCGAACTGGTTGTGCATGTGCGCCGGAACTGTACACGCGAACATCAGGATGTGGTGCACGTACGGCGCGGTGACTGGATCCAGCTTCACCCGAGACTGCACGGACAGACGCTGACATCAGGCGAACGGGTGCTGTTTTCTAGACCAAGTGCTGCGCTGGACGCTGCACGTGTCTGACCCGACGCCGGCCGGCGGACCCTCCCTTTCTAGATAACACAGAATAAATGTCAGAGGAAGCATGCAGCATGTGGTGTATCTTGTTTGGATATATGAGGCGGGGATCGTTCGTGTTTTACTCAGTTCCAACCGGCGTGGTTTGGACGGACGGCACGTCCTCTGGAGTGACAGGTTATAAACCGTGGATAGTATTGGCATCATTGATTTCATTGACGGCAGCTTGATGTAGGTATGGCACCCATTCATGTGAATTTGTTTCATATACGCGCACACACTGCAACCAAACGTCAGTCGAAAATATAAGGAGCCCTACTTTTTCGTTCGGACCAAGGGCGACCAAAGTGCTGACCCAAGCTTTAAACATCTAACAAATCAAACTACATTTAATCTAAGCTCAACCTCTGCACACCCCACAACTACACTCCACGGCTCTTACCCCAATGAGGTGGACCTTTTCACCGAAGTCAGGCAGCCTCTTTATCGAACAGTGGTAGTAGGTGCGGGCCTCGGGCAGCGCCACCTCGCTGTTGCCGAACACAAACGACTCGCTCTCGCCGGGCGCCGGGAAGCGGAAGACGCCCGAGCCGTCCAGGCTGAGGCTGCGGACCCCGCGCCGCGTGCCGTGGTAGGAGGGGCCGCCACCCGGCGTCGGGTCAGACTCGTGCAGCGCCCAGATCAGACGAGTCGTGTCCATCTGGGGGTGGCGTCGACCGACTGTCAGCCGATGACGGGCAGGGGAAGTGTCAAGTCGGGCGGACGGGGCGAAAAGGTAGCCCAGGAGCTCGAAGGTGACGAGGCCATGGGCTGGAGGATGGGCAAGGAGGGCTATGCTTGGAGACACCGCTAATTGTACAGCTAGCGGGTGTGTGGCGGAGGCCTTCAACACGACCACGGACCTCAGATCACAGGTCAGATCACAGATCACAGATCTTCGGATCTCATGAGTGAGATCCGGATTGGTTTGAGCGACCTCCAGGAAAGTTTCTCAAATCTCCATGAAGAAATCAGAAGACGGACACTCAGCACGTTCATCCAAAACTTCCAGCTTATGTTCGGTTAGACGACACCCGGTGAGCGTCAAAGGCGGAGTACTCACCCCCAAACTGAGGTCATGTTCGGTATCGCAGGACCGTAGGGGCGACGGAAGGTGAAGATGGTGTGCGTGCTGTTTTCGCTCCCTTCCAGCAAGCTCGACATCGTTGCTGCTGTCCAGCAGTGTGCGCTGTTTCCCACTGCGTGCATGTCCTGTCGGCGCAGCCCACAGCGTCAGGTTGACCAGGAAGAGGAAGGCTCCCGCGCTCAGCAGTGAGGAAATCTGCTAAGCTGGGTGGCACCGGTTGGCTCCCAGACCGAAAGGTAAAACTGTCAGAGTGAGGTTGAGCGTCGCTGAAAGCTGTCTCGCAGCACACGGTTCGAATCCCTGAGAAAGCGAATTGTTGGGGCCCTATCATTATTTAGTGGCCAGCTGGCACATGCCTGACCGAGGAAGGTTATGCTGGCACTGGGCGGCTATGTTGTAGCACCGTACGAAACGCAAAAGATCCCTCCGCGCTCTTGTATGGCGCAAAGGCGGGGAGCGCAGTCATGCTTTGCATAGGCTCCGCGCACACGTGCCGCGTGACCATACTGCTCGGTACGTGATCTGAGGCGAAAGGCAACAGCGCAGGACATTCCAGCAAGTTTACAAGAAGAGCAAAAAGCGCTAAACTAAAAATAACCACAGTTGTCGGCGCGCTCCAAAACTCAAATTAACAGCAACTAAAGATTTTATATTGTCAGTTCTCAGGTCAGCTTTTCTCCGCTTTCGAAATATTTTTTTTAAGGCGTATGCAGCATGACCAATTACGTTCCCGGAGAGCTTCAGCAGTTGTTCTTCTTGTTCAATGCTATTACCCATTAACAATTGGAATATCTCACCGCCAACTGCTCTGAGAAAGCTGCCAGTTTGGTGATTAATCCCCAATGCTGACAACTCTGCACCAGCCACAAGTGAGAACGGCTACACAGCCTTGTATTATCGCTCATAGTTAAGCTAGAGAGGGCTGCTCAGGGGTTCGTTGGCAACCGAAATGCACAACGAACATGGAGTGAGCGAACCAAAAGCTGATTATCGGGTCATTAAACGCCTTTCTTGTTGCTTTTTAATGTTCCAAAACTTATCTTGCAGCTTCTAACGCGTAGCTTCGACATTCTGTACTGCAAGCTGGTGCGTTTCCATCGTTTTATCCCATATAGAGAAGACAGCGTATGTAACCGTATTCATCATAGAATAAGCAGTAGAGGTAGATAGAGAGATATGTTGATACTTCAGCGGCATACTTTTATCGAAACGAGTATCAAAAGTATAGTATTGCATACAAGTCGTCTGATATTCATTTCGATATCAGCTGGCCGTCTCCTGGAAGGAGTTTTGCGACCGCTAAAAATGTTGCCATATGTGTCACTACAGGAGGTATTAGATACATTCTTTGGGTGCGAGAGAGAGAGAGAGAGAGAGAGAGAGAGAGAGGAGAGAGAGAGAGGAGAGAGAGAGAGAGAGAGAGAGAGGAGAGAGAGAGAGAGAGAGAGAGAGAGAGAGAGAGAGAGAGAGAGAGAGTATATATATATATATACTAAATAAATATATATATATATATATATATATATATATATAGATATATATTATCAGCCATTTATGCACCGTTAAAGTATCAAGCGCGGCCTCCCACCGTCGACCAGCCGGCCAGCATCTCCCCATCAGTCGGCAGGAGTTCTCCTGGCTCACACAGGGACGCGGGTAGCGCTGCTTTCACCCCACCTGCACGTGCGCTATTCCGTCGACCCATCCCATGACGATGTCGGCCCCTGTCATGGCGCCATTCGGTGAGAACCCAACAGCGGCCCAGCCTCTGCCGACACAAAATAATTTGCGTGCTTTTGGACAGCCAACGAACATAAGCTTAGGGACTCAACTTTGGATGCTTCGGGAAATGGACTTCGGGTAATTTGGGGACGTGAACACGGGTATCGTTCACAGGAACAGTGACTCACAGAAAAGGCAGTGACAACAGCCTTATTCCTCGGAGACAAACCCGCAGAACGGAGGTATAGATCCGTTGACATTTCGGCAACATGCCTTTATCGAGACAATAGCAGAATTGTTCGATCAGGGCATGGTGCTGAAATATTAAGGCATCTAGATCTCCATTCTCCTGGTCTTTCTCCGCGCAGTAAGACTATTGCTACTGTTTTGTCTATGCGAATAATGCTCCTCGCAAATGCATAACAAGTTAAGGAATAGCGACCCCTTTCAAATCGATGGGCAACTGCACAGAGTAGTATCTACGCTAGTCGCGTCCGATTAGGAATACAGACACAAAGTTTTTATTTTTCCTCTGCTCGGATATTCAACTTTAACCAGCAAGTCAAAGGAGTTTTTCTATCGAGCACCATGCTCACCACCATTAAAAGAAATATCGCCTTGCACAGAGTTTGCTTTCGGTTTCTGCACCGGCTGCTAAAGGATTATTTCACTAGGCTTTGCGATTGTCTTGGTCGGAAATAACGTACAGCTCGCAACATATTAAGTTGTTGGGCTGATATAGCCGACATCCATTTTCATGCGATGACTTTACGTGTTACAGCTGTGCTTGGGGCGGAGAAGTGTTGTATAGAGTTTTCACCAGCTTTTTCATGCCGAAAAATGTATTAAAATGAATTAATAATCACACGTCTTTGGTAATGTCAGGTCCACTTTCCATTGGAACGCAGAGAGGTAGTGGTTATCCCGTAAATTGTGATGAAAACGTCATGCCAGCAAACAATTCCGAATTATTTCCTTGGTATATGAAAGCGTGCATTGCCAGCTTGCTATATATAGAGAGATAACGACTGCTACACATAAATCGCATTCTGCAAATGAGCAGATTATATACATTTTCAACAAAACACATTAGGCATCGTTCTGAACCTTGCATGAAAACCAAGAGCACTACAGCTTACGTTGGGTTAGATCGGGGCCGCTGGCCATCGCCGTCGCCAAACAATAGATCACCGCCTCCACCAGACGCCGGGTTCAGGTGCGAGTCTCACCTAGTCTTGGCTTCCACGTGCATGACGATCGCGTTGCTGTCGTCGTCGGGCGTCCAGTGGATGACGACGTCGCCGTCCGGGTCCAGCACAGCCGAGTGCTGAAGGCCGCTGGCGAGAGCCAACAGCAGCGCCGGCGCCAGGCAGCGCCGCGTCGTATCAATCTGAAGCCCGCCCGTGGCGACTGAGATCAGCTGCGTCGTGCGAGCGTGAACCCAGGCGCGTAGAACGCAGTTGAAACCCAGCAGCCTTATCGAGGAAGCTCGACCGTGCCGTGACTAAACCGAATTGATAGTGTTGTACAGAGCTGAAGGGCGGCAGTGGGGGTTGAAGACATCCGAAACCCCGTGGTGTACAGACCAGAGAAGTTGTGTCTCACGACAACGTAGTTCGGCTGGGCCGTGCCGTAGAAAGCCGAAACTCAGACGCGCGGTACGAGACAAGTCCCAACCGTGTCGTCCAAAGCCGAGACCTAGCCGTGTCGTGCAGTGCTGAACGCCTTGTGATGCAAAGATGAATTCAGCTGTGTAGTAGGGGCTGAAACTCAGTCGCATCTTGGACTTGTGGAACTCAGTTGTGTCGTTTTCAGCTGTGGCTCAGCCGTGTCGTAGGGAGAGGAAGCCCAGATGTGACGCATGGATCTGAACGCAGCCTGGTCGTTGAAAGCTGTTTAAAGCTCGTCCACATTAGCCGCCTCCGTGGTCTAGGAGAAAGATGCTGGACTCGTAATCCAGCGGCACTGGGCACGAGTCCCAGAGTGGGCGCATTATTTGACCCGAATGACATGGAAAGGCCAGCTGGCAACTGGCCAACGAGGTTCAACCCAGATCCGAGGCGGCCGTGTCGCAGCATTGTGCGGCACGTAAAACCCTCCGCATTCCTGTCTGGTGAAAGGGCGGGGGTAAAATTAGCTGTTGAACTGGACGGCACGCTTGGGTGATGAGCTCGGGGTACACGCAACAAGCTATGCTTAGCAGGTACTCTGAATCCGAAGTCACCCATGCAAACCATTAGGAATATATTTATCAAAAACACATTGGTGGGGAGTGGCATTGATGGGACGACAACGGTCGAAGGAAAATGCTGCACGCGGGGATAATGAGACAACTATTCGCTATCTGTAATCACCTATGACATTAATAAGTTCTCTGAGATGTCGTACCTGACAGAATAATAATTACTGCCCCCCCCCCCCCTTTTATTCGCAACACTTTCAGGGCAGTCTTGATTTCTCAACTGTTCGCTGTAATAGTTTGAAAACGATTGCATGATTGGCGCACAATGATTCGTTGTCACACAAGTACGGTATGTAAAAATATCTAAAAGCTATTTGAAGGTGCGGTCAGTCAAATTATATCATTTCAACAGCATTGTACCATATGAAATGGTAATTTGCATTGCAAAATGGCATTACTGAGCACGCAGTGTTTGTTTTCGATTGCGTTGAAACTTACACAGCATATAGCTTGAGCCAAACCATTACTTACGCAGCACATAACAACTTTCATGCAGTCTCTCGAAGATGGGAACTAAAAATCTAGCACGATCTTGTTGGTCAGTTGACTAAAAAACAGCCTGCTCTACTCGTATCGCTTTGCGAGATTGTATGAGTAGCAGTGGTAGAGTTACGGTCCAAGGAGGTGGAGGCGAAATGACCTTTGGTACTAGTGTGACGTGATTTCCAAAGATATGGCATAAGAGTCGCCGAAGTCACCCATCAGTACAAGATGTGGCAGGAAAGCAAATGCATGTCAAACAGCCTGAAACTTCATCCACCGTACGCCGTCATTTGTCAACGGATTTGGATACCCCATGCGTGAATCCAGGTCAGTGCAATCTGGTTCTGAGTCAGCGCATACCTGCGACACGAAACAATGTGCACATGGCTTACTTCTTCTCTTAGCCTAATAACCCTGGCTGTGTTTTGAGCCGTACTCGGCTGTGAGAACGCACAACATCACATGGTGAGAATGCGGCTAAGAATCGCACACGACCTGGAGTGGGTGACAGTTTTCTTCAAAACGAGCCTAAAGGTGCTCCTGGAAGTTACGACCACATCACACGAGTGATCCGCCAGACAGAACTCGACCCACCGCCAACCACCAGCGTTAAGCCCTTTCGTGAGTTCAACACAACACACAGTTCGTATCTCCGACCCACCGCCAACCACCAGCGCTGAGCCCTTTCGTGAGTTCAACATAACCCACAGTTCGTATCTCACCCCTCACCTACAGCCAAGTCACGCTCCCGCCCCTGAGTTCCAGCCCCGAAGACTCAGAGCGCAAGCACTGACCTGCATGCTGTCAATGGGCTCGGAGAGTCGTCCCCCGGTAGCTGGTCAGGAGACGTTGTGGCTCGTAATGAGCTTGGAACGTCGCCCCTCCGACGGCTGGTTCGGAGACTCTGCGGGTCGTGGCCCACGCGGTCCTGCTGGTGTTCGCCGCCGAGCCGGGGTGGGTCGCGGCTCCCGGGACGCGGCCTCGTGCAGACACTGCAGCCATACGTTTCATGCTGTTCATTTTGCGCACCACCCGTTCAGAGTCGGTGGGATTACCGGCGGAGCGTCGGACAGCGAGCCAGCCGGCCGCGGTCTGGAATTCCCCGCCGCCCCCGCCGAGCCAAATGCAGCCATTAAGCCCAGAGGTGAATGCGGAGCTGCTCGACGCTCCAGCGTGCCCTGTGTGCTCCTGTATGTCCCTGTATGCCCCAGTATGCCCTGCGTGCCACCAACAGGTGAAGAGCTGGCAGATCTAGGGCGCCCGTCGCTCGCACCCGGGTGGCACGCTGGCATACAGCGGCACGTGGCATGAACAGGGACCGGATCGCAACGGAACCCGTGAGTCATTAACGGCTCTGAATGCGGCCAGGCTGTGAGGATGGATGGCAAGGTCACTAACACTGCTCCAGCTCAGCGCTAGCAGTTTAGCGCCGTGTTATCACTGGCTGAAACGCTCTTCGTTTGGTCATATTTGTGATCCTCAGTACTTTCGCACAGTTGTTTTTGGACTTCAACGAAGTTGAAAACCACGTTACATTTGACGTCAAATGTCGCTCTGTTTCCAATCGGCATCGACCGGCTCCCCAGGTAGTTCCCGTTTTAAACCGCGGCCACTGGGTCCAGCTTGCAACACCAATGACGTCGCCACGTGGCACATGCGTCGAAACAACTCCAGCGGATGATTATGTCTGGTAAGTTAAAGGCCTTGATCGGCGCCAGCCTTTTCAGGCACCGGGATTGTTTTTCACCGTAGTGCTAGGCTTATGGAAGCTAGCCTTAGCTAGCCTTTTCAGGCACCGGAATTATTCTTCACCGTGGTACTAGGGTTATGAAAGCTATTATTGCATGTCTTCTCATTTGTCTTGAGGGGAGGCGAGGGCGGATTGATTATGAACCTATTCATTAATGGGGTAAACGTGCATGCTAAGCAGCGTGTGTTGTTTAAGCCCTAATTCCTCAAATACGTTCGTATAATTCAAGTTCAAAGGCATAATTTTGCGAAGAACGTTTATCGTGCCGCGATTCCCGGTGAAGCCCGCTCCGGCCGGTGACGTCATTTGAGAGGCCGCTGCCACCGGTCGCAGGCGATCCCGGTCAGGAGCAAATAACGAGCCGGCCCGACTCGACGTCCCGACGGGCCGGCCCGACGGCGACTTCCTGCCGCCGCTGCCGTCAGCTGTTGTCATCTGCAAGCGCTTAGCTACACGACCAATGACGTGTACTGGGCGATCGGTTTGAAGGCGCCGCTGTTCTGCGACATGACCCTGACCCTGGGCGGTGGCTGG